ATCCTGTCCCAGAATATAAGCTCCCTGAGGAGATACTTGGTCTGTTTTGGTTCACTGCTAAATATACCCAGCCCTATAGAAGTTCCTAGCACAGAAAAGATGCTTCATAAATACTTGTGTTTTTTTGTTGTTGGTTTTTTTTTTTTGTTTTTTTTTGGAGACAGAGTCTCACTTTGGTGCCCAGGCTAGACTGAGTGCCGTGGTGTCAGCCTAGCTCACAGCAACCTCAAACTCCTGGGCTCAAGCAATCCTACTGCCTCCCTCAGCCTCCCGAGTAGCTGGGACTACAGGCATGTGCCACCATGCCCGGCTAATTTTTTCTATATATATTAGTTGGCCAATTAATTTCTTTCTATTTATAGTAGAGACGGGACTCGCTCCTGCTCAGGCTGGTTTCGAACACCTGACCTTGAGCAATCCACCCGCCTCTGCCTCCCAGAGTGCTAGGATTACAAGCGTGAGCCACCACGCCCGGCCCATAAATACTTGTTGAATAAGTGAGTAAATGAAACAGAGAGGTACTTAAGAACGAACCTCAACACTGTAACACAGGGGAGAGAAACAGAAATCATAGATGGTGAGACCAGTGACATAGAGCTACATATTAATGGTATGGCTTTGGCTATATGTATGCAGAATTCTATCCTTCTGATTCTTTGCTTTGTGCACACACACAAAAAACGCTCCACCCTCTCTATTGGCAGGACTGAGAAGGCAGGATGTATTTGTGGTAAAGTTCCATCAGCAGCAGGAGCCTTTAATTTTTCTTGCTTTTTCTGTTCCAGATGAGACAGAAGGACCCAGTGAAAGGAATGACAGCAGATGACTAAAGCCACCCCTACCCCCTCTGCACTGTATGTACCAAATTTCTCAATGTGCGTGTCATAGAAGCTAAAATCAGTTTGGGTTCTCAAGGCTTCAGCAGTTCACAATGGAGTTAGAAAACCTGCTTTATTCCTTGTCCTTCCCTCTAGTAATGATGATGACTCCCATGCTAAACACCTCAGGCTTTCACTGAAGGAGATCATAGCTATTAAGCCATTTCAGGGACACGTTTTTTGTTGTTTTTTTTTTTTGAGACAGAGTCTCGCTTTGTTGCCCAGGTTAGAGTGAGTGCCATGGCGTCAGCCTAGCTCACAGCAACCTCAGACTCCTGGGCTCAAGCAATCCTTCTGCCTCAGCCTCCCGAGTAGCTGGGACTACAGGCATGTGCCACCATGTCTGGCTAATTTTTATATATATATATGTGTATATATATATATTATGTTTTGGCAATTATTCTTTCTATTTATGTAGAGACAGAGGTCTCGCTCTTGCTCAGGCTGGTTTCGAACTCCTGACCTCGAGCAATCCGCCCGCCTCTGCCTCCCAGAGTGCTAGGGTTACAGGCGTGAGCCACTGCGCCCAACCTCAGGGACATATTTTATAAAGAACTGCCCAGATAGAGACACGGATAGGGTGCTAAGAAGTGGAGGTGGCAGCAGTGATGTGGAAGTGGAGTTCATCTGCTGCTAATCACTCTTCCCCTCTCACCACTTGAGCCATCGTCATGCTGGCGCACAACCTGCACTGCCCATGCCAGAGCCAATTCCTAACTCCTAAATGCTGGCATTCCCTGCCCTTCCCTTAAAAAACTTGCTGGCCAGACAGCTTTTCTTAGTATCCTTTTTTGTGTCTGATGCTTCATTTTCTTCCTCTTGGTATCCTCAATCCCATACTAAGTAGCTGTTCTCATCAGAGGTGACATCTTTTAGATGTCAGGAGAATGTTTCTGTGCAGCTCATAGGGCCAGAATGGGGTGTCCCTTGTTTCATGTTGTTACTCTTCCCCAAGCCCCTTCCTTCTATTAGCTCCCAGCGCTGGTTCCTCAGTGCCCTGTACTCATGTTAATGGAACAGCTCAAGGTAGTCTCAGTCATGGAATGACAAACCTGCTCTACTCCCAGTTAGGCTCTGAGAGAACATTAGTTTATCAAATAAAAGCAGCCCATCCTCTAGCACTAAGAGGCTAAGGAAGCCTAGCGTCTCACCAGCAGTGATGCAAACCTCTGCTCTCTCTCCCTGCCCTACATCCCTTAAGGCAGCTTCTGGGAGATAAGAGGGGTAGGACCAAGTGGACTATTGCGATGCCAGCTCCTCAGTCACCATTCAGGCTTAGTGCCTTGTCTCCTCCCATTCCCCTCCCCAGTGACTGGCATCCTTCCTCCTTTTGAAATTCCCCCATTCAAGATGATTTACAGTGTGTTTCTATTTTCCCCTGTTGCCTCCTTAATAATTGCATTTCTCTTCTAGTTTTGCAAGACAGTGGTCAACAGGAAGGCCCAGCAGCTCCACCCTCCCGAGTGACAGGCCATCTTCGGACGCAGCCTTTCTGTGCCCATTCTTCAGGCAACTTTCGATCCCTTACTGTAGCTAATTCTAGATGCCCTTTAATATTGTAAACAAATAGACCGTCTGGTATTACAAAGCCCGTGTGTGCGGGAGCCCGCTCCTCTGAGATATGTGTAGGTTGCTGTATTTACAGCTCCTCCCTCTCTCTCCATTGTGTTCCAACCCATTTCTCTGTGCGCCCCCACCTTTATTATTTCCAAGTGACATTTTTAGTCTCTCAAAATAGCTGCCTTTTGTGATGTGGTAATTTAAATGATTTACGTCCATTTGTTTTCAACCTTGGGATAAACTGAGGTTATTTTGCTTCCTGGGCAGATCTTTGCAATTTTGAGTGCTCAGTTGGGGAGAGGAGATGAGTTAGAAATACAGAGGTTTTCCCCCCAGTTCCACAGAATAGTAATGTGGCTTTGTAACTCTGACGTCTGCTCCCAGTATCCCACTGTTAGAGTGCTCTAAGCACCATGGAGGTACCCAAGGCCTAGCCAGTCTCTGTTTAAGAAAATTTAACAAATACAAATAACCCCTACCCCAGTCATTGGATCTCTGGTCACTATTCTTAGAAACAACTGTGGTTTCTCAGCCCTCCTGCTGCCCACTCTGTCTGACTCTCTCTGCAGAGCCTACAAAACACCCCAATCAACTCTCCACCTGCAGGGAATTGTCCAGTGTGGCCCTCAGAAGTGAGTCTACCCCGTAGATACAGATCAGTCTGACCCCTGAGGAGCTCTGTGTGTCCATGCTCCTCTTCCCTTTTGGGTTGGTGCTGCCACTCAGCAATAATCCTCTTTTCTCTGTGCTTTCTTAGATCCCTGTCCTCTGTCTTTGAGGCTGGTTAGGACATAAGAGTCCTGATCTTTTCATGCTGCACAAAATGAGCATGCAAAAAGCTTTCTTCCAGCAGAACATGTTCCCTCTTGTCTCCAGTTGCTGGAAAGGAATTTGGGGATCAAGAACTCAGCTAATCCTGCCCCCATGCTGAGTTCTATCCTGGACAATCAAAAGCAAGTAGGTGATCATAGTATAGAACTCTACCAAAGCAAGCTGGCGAAGGAGTCCAGGCTGCAGGGGAATAGAAGCTGCTGAGTGCTTCATAGTTTCCTACAACTTGGCAGAACCCAAGTACGAGTACGCCTTCCTAGTGGGAGGATCTGAGATAGCTGTGATGTCACCTGACATTCCTCCAACCTTGTGAAGTATGTTGGCTTGATCCAAGCCCATGCTCGCTTGGGTGCATCTGCTAACGAGAGAGACCAAATCTCTTTTGGGGGGAGCAAGAAGTGGGATGAGATAATTTATCCTTGTTTTGTCAGTGTGTTTGCCTTACTCATTTCTAAGTGCAATAAGGGAGTGTCTCTCACAGGATTACACCTGTGACATCCTGATGGTTGTTGCCTTGTGGCCCTCCTGGGGCAGGGGTGGACAGATTCAGACCCCTCAGCCTAGTTAGCTCTGACCTTCATCCAGGTCGCTTTGGGAACAGGGAGATGTCCTGCTACAGACAACTTCCTCTGTAGTCTCCTCACCTTGAGGGGTCTTTAGTAACCTGGGGCATTTCTGCTGGTTATTAGCATCTCAACTGCTGGTAGCATTTATTTGACTGGCATTCCTACTGGAGAAAAATGTAAATGTTTTCCTACAAGCTCTGTATTAGCTATTAATTATATTTGTGCTTAAAGATTTCCCTTCTTCATTCATCAATTAGGTGAAGTCCAGATGTGGGTTATCTTGGGAGAAACAAACTGTGATATTCTAAACAGCTGTTTATGTGGTTTGAGGGTCAGCAGATGTTAGTCTCCTTCCTTCAGTTCTTCTTTGAGATCCACACATATCACCTGAGCTCTAGTGGGGGTTCCTCCACCTCTACCTGTTGCCCCAGTTTGAAAGAGCTGAGGCTCTTGCCCACATAAACGTAAAGGAGGGATGTCCCTGGTCTGTTCTATCCCCATGAATGGTGTTGCTGCTGGGCAACAGTGTTGGCTTCTTTTAAGTACCCTCTTCCCTCATTACCCACCCCCAAACTGACTGGCACTCAAGGGACTTATGATAAAGGCTCAGCTCCAGGGGTAGTACCTGAGCATGTGCCACACCCCTTCAGACCAGCTGCTTCCATTAGATTTCCAGGGTCATAGTCCCAACTGGAAGCAGCAGTGCCTCTGTAGGAGGGGTGCTGGGCTCTGGCCTTCTCATGAAGAGAGGTCAGGGACAGGATCAGTATCATGGGCACATGTGTATCTTCCCAAGTTCTCCTTTTACAATCCCTACTGGGACTCCCTGATTTATTTTGGTTGGTTCCTAGTGCTACTTCTTTTACAAACTACACTTTGTAGAACTGATTAGATTACCTTGTTTATTTAATGTGAGTTTGTGCCTTTTTGTCTCAATCTTCCAATACAGGTATATTGGGAAAAAAGCAGTCTAATAAAATCCTAGACAGAGCTTTCTGGAGTCCAGCTTATTGATGTCTTTTACATTCATTTCCCAAATTAAATATCCTCAAACTCATACTGATGTCCCCCATTTTACCAGGGCAGGATTAGAAAAAGGTACAAAGTTTACTCTGAAAATTTTTGCAGGGGGATTTCTGTAAAGTGAAACATTCCATTGTCAATTTACTTATGTAAACATTGCATATATGAATGTAGTTAGGCCATTTTCAACTGGCAGTATTTCCTTTGGCATTTGTTTCCCCTCCTCTACACATCTTCCTCTTTATCCACCCTACCAAGCCAAACATTTGTTTAAAGTAGGAGTTCTTAACCTGGCTTCCGGGTCTGTGAACCACATGAAGCTTGTTTGTAAAACTGTGTGCAATTTTCTAGGGAAAGTCATGGGTCTCAAAGGAATCCCATGCATTTCTCCCCACCCCACCCCCAAAAAGATTAAGAACTAATGACTTGGAGGAAATCAGTCAATCTTTGGCAAAGTAATCTTCATTTCATGTTTGGTCCTGAATATAGACCAAATAGAAGTAGTGACTTATTTTTCGTTCATTGGTGGCCAATTGTCTAAGAGTCAGGAACCCCCAAACGTCCCATACGTAATAGGTCATCCAATGAGTTTGAAAAGCGAAAGGCACCTGAAAGCCGCAGTAGAGAACTATGAATGGAGGCGCTCCAGGGCCCACGTGAGAAAGCGCCCTGGGAACTGGGGAAATTACCTGCAGCTGGGGGTAGGGGAGAGACTGGGTCACAGGCAGGACAATGGCTAGACTGTGTGTCCTCACCCCCCGAGCCCCGTCTGCCCTCTGGTCTAGACGGTGGGCAGCTGGAGCGAAGACGGCACACAGGACCGGGCCCGCGAGTGGGGCAGAGGCCGTGGCGGGCGCGGCGGCGACTTCCGGCGGGGGACGGCCCCGCCCGCGGGAAGCGCTGGGAGCCTGGCGGCCGGACGCAGACGCCGACCGGGACAGTGTTGCGTCGAGCTCCGATGACAGGCCAGGCACGCCCCTTTACGTCCCCGCGTCCCCTAAAGCCCCTCTCTTCTCAGCCTCTCGCCGTTTCGCGCTCCTCGGAGAGACCCGCCTCTTCCCCCGAGCCGCACCACCCGGAGGCCGCGGCGCGCTCCAGGCCCGCCTCTTACGGAAGCCGAAGCGGACGTTCGGAATCCGGAAGAAAAACAATCAGGCGCGAGAGAGGTGTCTGAGCGCTGGTGTCCGAGGCTTGCCGCCCGGAGGCTGCTCCGGCTGGGACCAGCTGGGGCGGCGAGACGCGAGCCTGCTGGACCACTGCGTGGGGAGGATGGCGGCCGTGACCTTGAGGAAGCCGACCGGGCCGAAAGTCAGGAAGCTCAGGTGAGGAAGACCCCGCGGGCAGGCCGGCCTGCTCCGTGCGGATCGCTGCCTACGAGCCAGTCGGGCTGCGGGCCTGGGTGCGGGACCAGACGGAGAGAAGGGGCCAGGCTCACTGCGCTGCCGCGGGTGCACAGCCTCTCCCAAATTATTCCCAGGCCTTTGTCCAGTCCCCGAGCCTTGCGCCCCCTCTCAGTTTAGGCTGCCAACCTTGTTCCCACTGGGGCACCCTAAGCAGGTGTCTTCATTGCTTTCTGAAGGAGACAGCCGTGTTGGGCTGTTTGAAGTTAAAGACATAACAGGGCATTCACCTCTCAGCTCTAGAATAGAATCTTGTTCCTACTTTTGATTCAGCACATGCATCATGAGGTCTGCCTGATCCCGTTGTGACCTCCGGAAATCCGAAATCAGATTTAGATAAGATCCTTTAGTTAAGTGACAATACCCTGGTCTCTTGCCTGCTCTTTCACGAAGAACACGGCTAATCGCTAGCTTGGTGTAAGTCACAATGCATGGATTTTGCTGCTAATCGTTGGAGCAATGAGACAACAGAGTGGGGACAAGAAATCCCGACTTTTGCTCCCATCCACGTAGAGCAGGTCCCTGGGAAAACAAGAAGCCTTTGAGTAAAAGGTCTGCGTTCCTTAATCCTCTGTTGGACAGCAGGGGGAGATCGTAAACAAATGAAGCATGGAATCTGAACCCGAGTGCCTGGGAAGGTGGTTTATGTATTGTTTTGTTTGTATTCATATGGAGGGGCAGGAAGTTGCTTTAAGCTGGCCAAGAATTTCTTCAAGTGCTTTTGAGAACATGGACCTCTAAGAACAGGGTCTACTGGAGAAGGGATGTTTGAGGCGAAACTACCCCTTTCTCCCAGTCCCCTGTACCCTCTGCTGTTCTAAATCTTCAGCTGCTGCAGGTCTCCTCAGAATGCCTGGGACTCACGTGAGCCTTGGTGGCTGCTCTTCATCTGTGCAGGGTCTGCATCTCCTGCCTGCTCTGAACCCCCTCCGTCCCCAGGATCTTCCTGATGGTCCTAGGAACCCTGGGTTGGCAGGTGGGGGCTGGGGTTAGGAAGTTGCTAACTGAGCCATAGATGATCAATGAGATGTGGATGGCACAAGGAACTGAGGGGATTAATAAATTTCTGGCTATCCGGTCCCTCCATCCCTTCCCTTGTCTGGGGCTTCCTTGCAGTGTTGCTGTAGCTATTCAGTTAAAGAGCTCTGCAAGTCTCTCCTTTCTCTGAGCCTCTCATGGGAACCAGTGTTATTGAGAGCCCTTGATCTAGTTCCTTAGCTTCCCTAGGACTTTTATGAAGCTGAGGTGGAAAATATTATCCACCTGATGATTTTTTTTCCCAAGAGAGGAGGGTAGACTCTTGAGAGAGATGTTGAGAAACCTGTTACTTAGAAGCGTCTCCTTAGGCTCCCTGAGGTACTTACAGAATTGGTTGTGCTCCAGGGATCTGCTAGGAGGAAGTGGGTAGGGAAGGGAATGTGGTGTTGTTATTGCTGTTATTTTTTAAATTTCCTATCCTTTTGGTGATGAGGCCTCTCACAAGGTAAAAATCTGAACCCCCTGCACCCCCCCCCCCAGGATCTTCTCATGGTCCTAGGAACCCTGGGTTGGCAGGTGGGGATAGGAAGTTGCTGACTGAGCCATAGATGATCAGTGAGGTGTGGATGGCTGGAGGAACTGAGGGGATTAATAAATTTCTGGCTATCCAGTCCCTCCATCCCTTGCCTTGTGTGACCTCAAAGCCTCTGGGCTCCCTTTGGCAGCTCTGCTAGTGTCAGCAGCACCTGCATGAAGGAGCCAGTCCAGGGTGGGGTTTTCCTGCCTCAAGGAACAAAGATGAAGGCGAAGGGTTTGTAGTTCAGTGTCCCTATTCCTGCCATCAGATGCAGAAATTTGCATTTCCTGGCATGAACTGCAGGAGATTACGGTGCAGCCATTAGCAGGCCTAGACTCCTGTCCCTTATCTGGACAAGGTCTTATCCTTCCTTCATGATCTCCTTTTGCATCTCTTCCACAGCATACATGTCGTGACATGGAATGTGGCCTCAGCAGCACCCCCTCTAGATCTCAATGACCTGCTTCAGCTGAACAACCAGGACTTGAATCTGGACATATGTATCATTGGGTAGGTGTCTGCAGGGCCCCTTCACCCATCCCTGACAGTCCCAGGTTGTCCCTATGGGGGAACTGCTGAGACCCTTCCCCGCTTGCTCTGGAGTCTGGAGGCTAGACTCTTTCAGCCTGCATTGGAGCCAGTCCCATGTCTCGTGTTCCTGGGTCAGCAATGGCAAGGGATTGGAGCTCAGCAGCCAGGGGAGGAAGAGATCATGGTGATCGGCACCCAGTGCCTGAAGGCCTGTGAGGACAGTACTAATCATCTATGGCACAGGAAGTACCCTCCAGGCCAGGGGACAAGCCTCTGACCTGGGATGGTCAGTTTGCAGGAAATGAACTCTGGAATCATAAACCGCCTTTCTGACGCTGCCTTTGAAGACCCATGGAGCAGTTTCTTCATGGATGTGCTTTCCCCTCTGAACCTCGTCAAGGTAACTTACGAGTTCATGAGCAATTGAGAACTGTGTCTTACCTCCATTAGACCTCCATTAGCCTCCCGTCGTTTGGGCTAACGTGTTTCTCTTACCAAGTCAGCCTTTCATGTTGTTTCTCATTTATTGAAAGCTTAAACCTCCCTTGCACCTGGTGCCTGCTGCGTGCCTTTCCCAGGTAGCTAGAGCTGAACTGGGTCTCCAGAGGTTAGGTTGACACCAAGAGATTTATCAGCTTGGGAGGATTCCTGGGGCAGGTGCCGCAGGGCTTGTCAACACCTCAGTACCTATCCCTGCCCCAGCTGCCAGTCTCTATGCACATGCCCAGCCTGAAGTGTAATAATGATTGTTTTCATTTATCAAGTGCTTACTTAGTGTTAAGCATTACATATAGCTCTTTATACAGATTATTTAAAAATCTTAGCAATTCTCTTGAAATAGCGATATTTTACAGATAAAAACCAAGGCTCAGAAGTCATACAAGCTATCTGGGACTTGAAGTCTTTCGAACTTCATAACCCATGTTCCTAACTACTACACTTTATTGCTAAAGCGGTGAGCTCTAAGACTGCCGGGTATTCCATGGCTGGCCTGGTGGTATCACAGGGTATTCTCAGATCACAGGGGACAGGCACCTTAAATTAATTCCAGAGGCCCAGAGGCTAGGAGAGGGGAGATAGGAAGGGTGAGGAGAGGTTCACAGGCTGAGGGACCAGTGTATTTTGAGGAATCTTTAGACTGTAGGAGAATCCACAGGAAGGCTCTGGGTTGCTGGATCTTACCCTTGTGTCTGCCCTGCGCTTCTGAGGGATGAAACACACTCCCATGCAAAACATTCAGGACACAGCTGTTGGAAATACCAGAATTTTCTCTGTTTCCTAGCCTGGGTGACTATTGTTCTTCAGAATTAATTGTTACCCTAGTCTGCCTGGGGGTACTGGGGCAAGAGCTGTGTGTCCTTCAGAGGGGAGCAGAATGGGGAGGAGGAGATACAAGGTTTAGTCTTTTGCTAAGGCTAGAAAATGCCAGTCCCTGAGTCCTTGGTTCCCTCTAACTCAGACCCAGAGGCCTCTTCCTACAGACCTGGGGCCAAGTCCTCACAGAGGGCAGACTCACTTGTCTCACCACCCACTCCCTTCCCAAGACTGCAGGCCTTTTTGCACCTCGGCTGACTGGCAAGGGATTGGTAGGATGGAATCGAGCCAAGGAAATTAGCTCAGCATGTGGCAGGGACACAACCTATTCTACACATGTCGCCTGTTGAAGTTGGAGAGGCCAGCTGAGGGCCTGGCACCCAAAACGGATGTCTCTTCTTCACCTAGCTGAGGATCACCTAGTTACAGCCTGCTCTTTCTGTCCATTGGTTGAGAAGCCTGGGGGTGACCCCCTTTGACTGCTCCAGGGCTCCCAGCCATGGCCTGCTAGTTCTTTCTTTAGCTCCTCCTACTTCATTTCCTCCAACCGTAACTTCCCCTGGAAATCTGCTTTTCCTCACAGCCCCACCCTTTCTCCTAGTCTCTGGGTCCTTCCCCCATGCCATCCTCCCCTCCCCCCATTTCCATGGCAGCTCCATCCCAAAGTGAACGGGGTATCTTTGTGGTGGAGCCCAGTGGCCCAAACCGCTCTATGAGGTAGGATTAAGCTTGGAACTATTCTTGAGTCTTTATCAGCTCCCTGTCTCCGGTGATGACCCTGGGAACCAGTCCCTCATAGTCCTTCCCTTCCCCCCCACCTTCTCTTATATATGCTTGTGGATGAGAGAGAAGCCTGGGGGTGGAAAGTGGGGTTGAGGACACATTTGTAGCAACCTCTGGCCAACCCCCCTCGGTCTTGGGTTTGGGGTTCCCCCTGATTTGACTTCTCTACTGTGCTCATACTCCTGGCCTGTGGTATCAAGTTTCATAATTCCTGGAAGGCCCCAGTATACGCTCCCCACCCGGGGATTTCCTCCTTGGCCTCTACACCTCATGCTCCGGAAACAGCTACTCGGGTGCTGTGTACAGACGGCCTGACCCCAAGAGGGAGGGCCACTGGCCATGGCCCGTTCCCACCCCACCTTTTGCAGCTGCAGATAGTAGTGATTTTGCCAGTTCTGGTGCTTTGACGTTGTTATACATGTAGTCCTGCTGGTTCCTTAGCCTCCCTGAATCTTAGTCCCCCATCTGCACAACAGGGACAGTGATTCCTTACAGGGTTAGTGTGAGGAGTAAGTTAGATATGAAGCCCTTCAGTAGATGTTAGCTGTTCTCCCCAGCCTGTGAGCGTGTGTCCTCCATACTCATTGCACACAGTCTATAGTTATAGGGAATATTTTCTTAATTTGTTTCCACTGAGTTATAATGCACAGAAAATGTACATGAGTTATAACATATGCAGAAATTAAGTGTACAGTTTGATCAATCTTTACATGTATATATACACACACCCATGTCACCATCAGCCAGATCAAGAGACAGAATATTTCCAACACCTACCTTAGAAGCCTGTCTCTCATTCCTTCCCTGCATCTACTTTTAAGAATCCTTAAACAATCCAGGGTGATCATTCACACCTATAATCTTAGCACTCTGGGAGGCAGAGGTGGGAGAATTGCTCGAGGCCAGGAGTTTAAGACCAATCTGAACAAAAGTGAGACCTTGTCTCTACAAAAAAAATAGAAAAATTAGCCAGGCGTGGTGGCATGTGTCTGTAGTCCTAGCTACTTGGGAGGCTGAAGCAGGAAAACGGCTTAAGCCCAGTAGTTTGAGGTTGCTGTGAGCTATGGAGATACCATTGTACTCTAGCATTGGTGACAGAACAAGAACCTGTCTTTAAAAAAAAAGAATCCTCAAACAGCTGGGCACAGTGGCGTACACCTGTAGTCCTAGGTAGTCAGGAGGGTCACTTGAGTCCAGGATTTTGAGGCTGTAGTATACTATGATCACACCTATGAATAGCCACTGCACTCCAGCCTAAGCAACATAGTGAGACCCTGTCTCAAAAAAAAAAAAAAAAAAGAAATCCTTTAACCAAAAAATAATAGCTGTCAGGTAATCCTCACAGCACCTAGTATTATTCCTGCCTGATGAATGAAAAAACACACTGAGAGACTTGCCTAATATCATCAAATACTAAGAATCGGAGCCAGGATTTGAACCCACATCTGGCTAGCTTCAAAGCCAGTATCCTTGGCCACAGTCCTATGTAGCAACATTCTTTGAGGTCCTGGCCAGTAAGGGTTGCAGCCTGAGAGTATGCAGAGGATCCCAGGATGGCATCAGTGGGGAACACCCAGGCATGCATGGGGCTGGGACTAAAAACTTAGTGCCCTCCTAATGGCAGGGCACCCTGGCAGGCTCACCCTCTCTCCCCTCCAAACCCAGGCCTAGAAGCAGAAACTGAAATCTCAGTTCCCAGGATGCATCATTTGGCAGCCAAGGGGAAGAAAGGAAAGGGGTGGAACTCTGAGACTCAAACTGTACACCACAGATCCTGGGGCAGGGCGTTGTGTGTGACTCAGGGCGCTCTAGAGCACAGGGCCTGGAAGGGATGCACTTGACCTGTACTGTTTAACAAGCGATCTTTGCCCTCACTCTCCTGCAGGTCTCCCATGTCCGCATGCAGGGGATCCTCTTACTGGTCTTTGCCAAGTATCAGCATTTGCCCTATATCCAGATTCTCTTCACAAACTCCACCCCCACGGGTCTCTTCGGGTACTGGGTAAGGACTGCGCTGTTGTCTGAGTCATGAGCTGGGAACTGTAGAGCTGTGCAACAGGAAAAGGGTGTGGAATAAATCTTGGCACTCTGTCCAGCCCAAGAGCAAGCAGTGTCCTGCATGCTCGTTCTCCTGTCTTAGGGGGCTTGTTATCACCGAGACCCCAGGCTGGGTGAGCTGGCTTGTGCATGGAGAGATGCCCCTGGGAAGTTTGGTGTCCCTGGGAGACCCTGGGGGAGGTGAGACTATCTCCCCACAGGCCTCGGATGTGAAAAGAGGGATGCGTCCAGCCCAGAGTAGCTTCCCACTCTTCTGTCTACCTGCCCTACCAGGGAAACAAGGGAGGAGTGAACATCTGCCTGAAAGTGTATGGCTACTATGTCAGCATTATCAACTGCCACCTGCCTCCCCACATGTCCAACAATGACCAGCGGCTGGAGCACTTTGACCGGATCCTGGAGATGCAGAATTATGAGAGACATAACATCCCCAACATCCTGGACCATGAGTGAGCCTGGAGCTGCAAACTGTTATCCCTGCCCTCTCCCGTACGCCAGCCTGGGCTAGCGTCCTCCACCCAGCCACTGCTCCACCTCCTGCCCTCTCCAGCCCTGTCCCTAATGCCCATCTGCTGTCCCCCCCAGCAGTGCCTGCCCAGGCTCTCCTTCCCCCTCTGTCTTACCTAGAAACCCTGAACACAGCTCAACACCTCAGGTTAAGAACCTTATGGTTCCTGAGGTCACCAGAGGACAGTGGCCAGTTGAAGGAGAAGAAGGGAGGGCTGGAACTGCTCTGTATTTGCCATGTGCCCCTCTAGGCTGGTCTCTTGGCTCGAATGGTACTTTAGGAGCCATGAGAACAGTTCCATTGGAACCATGCATGCCCTTGTCCTCACCTGATCCTCTCCTGGCATCTGGCTTCTCACCTGCCCCCTCGAGCTTTCCAGCAGCCCTTGGATTGAGCAGACCTGAGCCACCTGTTGCTCTCCCTTCTCTGACTTCATCACAGACTCTCAGGCTGCCCTCCTTTCTTTCTGAAGCCTTATTCTCTGGTTTGGAGACATGAACTTTCGGATTGAAGACTTTGGGTTGCACTTTGTTCGAGAATCCATAAAAAAGCAGTGCTACAGTCACCTGTGGGAAAAAGATCAGGTATCAAGTGAAAGGAGGGCACCAAGGGGTGATCTGAGCCCACAGTGGTGAAATGTGTGGAGCTTACTCAGATTCCCTCGCAGCTGCTCCCCCTTTCCCGGTGGTGTAGGTTGGGGGGCTGTCTAGCAGGGCTTTGCCCCTGGGGGTGGGGCAAGCACTCCTGTTGTCAGTGCCTGATCTTCGCATGGAAGAGCTAGGGGACGGCCACTGGATGTGCTTTAGAAGAGGGAGCCAGAGGCATTTTGCCTGCAATGCCCTGTACCATGCATCAACCCACTTGTGTCCCTGTCCCCAGCCTTGCTTGCTTCCTGGAGGACAAGATACCACTCCTTGGAGAACTCTGGCTACCCCGGGTTCCCCTCTGACACATGTCTGCTAGTGACCCCCCACACCAAGAGATGGCATTCAAAGCCTGGTCCCTATAGTCCAAGGACTGGGAAATGGCAGGCAGCTGCCTCCCTTGGGCCAAGTACTTCCAAAAGAATTTAGGTGCTCTCCTGGGGGTGAGGGTGGGCTGCTGAGGCACGGCCAATGGGGCAGTGAGGAAGTGGCATGGCATTGCTTGACTCTTGCCCCACTTAGGATGGCATGTACTGGGCCATTGGGTTGGGACTATTGGGAGATGGAGACTGTGCCTTTATCTACAGCTCAGCATTGCCAAGAAACACGACCCGCTGCTCCGGGAGTTCCAAGAGGGCCTCCTGCTCTTCCCGCCCACCTACAAGTTCGATAGGAACTCCAATAACTATGACACCAGGTGAGGAGGAAATGGGGGCCCAGGAAGTCTAGGAAGTCAGGTTATGCCAGCGCTAGTGACAGTGTTAGAGAGACAGGAATACATCTAGCCATCACCTCTCAGGAGTGGCGCCTCCTGCCTCCCTCATGAGGCTCTGACTGTGGGAGCTGTCCCAGATTGTCCTCAGAGAGAAGAGGAGGGACAGCCGGTGCTGGCAAGGACAGGGGAGGTGGGGTGACGGACAGGGCCAGAGGAGAGGGTGGAGGCAGCTGACTCCTGGCTTAGGAGGGACTGCACTTCAGCGTTCTGAAAACCCTTGCCCCCACTTCCCAGGACCCTCTGGTCCCCAGATGGAGGGCAAAAAGCTTGGCTCAGCCAGTTACTGGTATTAACTATCCCTGCTCAGCCTGTGAGTGGGTCACATACTAGGTGAGGAGATGAAGTAGACGTCACTGGAGAATTGCATGGGGAACAATACAGAGACGGTGCATCTGGTACGCAGAGGCACAGCTCTGCCCCTCATCAACTGTATGATATTAGACGAGGTATTTAAGCTCTGTTTTTTCATTTATAAAATGTGGATGATAACAGTTCACACCTCATGAGGTTGAAGATAAAAAAGAGACCTTGCTTATGCTTAGCCATGCCTGACAGCCAGTAAGCATAGGAGATTACTGCTGTGGTTATTTTTTGATTTGTGTCTCCAGGCAGTGGTTTTACTAGAAACCTTTCTATGCTGGGTGTGGTCGCTCTCATCTGTAATCCTAGCACTTTGGGAAGTTGTAGCAGGAGGATCGCTTGAGGCTGGGAGTTCAAGACCAGCCTGGGAAACCAAGCAAGACCTTATCTCTGAAAAAATGTTTTAAAAATTAGCTGGGCATGCCAGGTATGGTGGCTCATGCCTGTAATCCTAGTACTCTGGGAGACCAAAGTGGGAGAATTGCTTGAACTCAGGAGTTCGAGACCAGCCTGAGCATCTCTACTATAAATAGAAAGAAATTAACCAAACAAGTAAAAACAGAAAAACTTAGTCAGGCATGGTGGTACGTGCCTGTAGTCCCAGCTACATGGGAGGCTGAGGCAGGAGGATCGTTTGAGCCCAGGAGTTTGAGGTTGCTGTTAGCTAGGCTGATGCCACAGCCCTCTAGCCCAGGCAAGAGAGTGAGACTCTGTCTCAAAAAAAAAAAAAAAAGTTACCTGGGCATGGTGGTGCATGCCTGTAGTCCCTGCTACTTGGGAGGCTGAGGCAGGGATATTGCTTGAGCCCAGGAGTTGGAGGCTGCAGTGAGCTATCATCACACCACTATACTCTAGCCTGGGTGACAGAGTAAGATTCTGTCTTTAAAAATTTTATTTTTAAAAGTAAAAATTAAACAAAAAAACAACCTAAGAAGCTGAGAGGGGCTAGGTAACCACTAAAACTTAAGGCTTAGGGGCTTACGCAGAGGAGCAAAAGTACCACTGGCAACAGGTCCCTGACCCAATTTAGGGCAAGGACCCTAATCTCTTTTCTAGAAAAGAAGAGCCCCTTACCTGTTATCTTTCACCTCAAGCAGCTCCTTCATTCCTCCTAGCAGGGCTGTTTTCTTAGGCGGGAGGTGCCTACAGGACAGCCCAGGCCTTTGGGATTTGGGGAGTGAATTGGTGTCTCCACAGACAGGCCAGGGCAAGAGGTAGAACTGCAGGCTTGGCTCTGAAAGCGGTATGGCAGAGCCAAAATGTCCTCCCCAAGGCAAGGGGGAGAGGGTGAGCCATTTCAGGAGTGTGGAGCAAGACAGAGTAGGGTCACGGCCAGGGCAGTCCACAGAAGAAGAGGCGGTGAGCACTGGGGACAGAACCCAGGCTGGGCAACAGAGCGGGCGGGAAAGGAGGTAAGAGGGCGGGCTGTGGCAGGCTGGGTCCACAGCTGCAGAGACTGCCAGTCCCTACAAGCATCCATTGTAAATGAGAGCCATGGTGGAAGCTGTAAGGCCTCAGTGGGACAGGCTGGGGCCTTGAGGGCTAGGACTTCTACCAATTGACTTTAAAAATACCTCTTTAAATGAAAAACTTGCCAGCAGGAAAAGCTGCTGACAGGCCATGGGCCAGGTGTCCCTTTCCCCCAGGTTATGGTAGGGAGACCTGCAGCAGATCAAAAGTCATTGCAAAAGCTGAGCCTGGGCTGGAGTAAACCGACTGACAGGATAGAAAGGCTTCCCCAGGCAGCTCAGCTAGTGAGTGGCGGAGCTGGGGCTCAGACTGAGTCTCTGGATTCTGTAGCCAACAGTGCTTGCCTCGGCCTGGTGCCTCAGAACTCACAGCCAGCCTTGCCAGCAGCAAAAGGCAAGACAGGCTCAGTGTGGCAGACACTTGCTAAGGAAGAGGCAGAGACTTGCTTCCATGTAATAGCTCATTATGATTGACAGTATTGAGCACTTGCCATGTGCCAGGCATTGTGCAAAGGGCTTTGCGTGTATCACTTTACTTAATTCTTACCATACCGTCACTAGGTGGACTCTGTTATTATTGACTTTTTACAGATAAGGAAACTGAGTCTCAAGGAATATCTAAGTAAGGTAGTAACAGACTTAGCGATCAAGCAAGCTGTTATTTAGCCTTAAAAACCCAGTTCAGACTTCATCTCTCCTAGGAAGCCATCTCTCCTGGACCCTTCCCCATCTCACTGAGAGGTCCCCCCTGCTGCCACCCAGCCTGCACACACCATGCTTTCAGTATTGCTTTTAAGGCGCAGTGTGCTTTTCTTGCTATACTCTGAATGCCCAGAGAGCAGAGACTGGATCTGATTTAGGACCATCCCTAGTATGTAGCAGTACCTGGCATATGTTTGAATTGGGAGCCAGAGAGGACAAAAGGGTAAGACATGGTATTTAGGGAGCAGCCAGTCCAGCAGAGGGACTCACCCATGGCAAAGAGATCCAAATAAACATTATTAAGCCCAGGAGTTAGCCAGTAGAAGGTTTCCAGAACTCTCTGCGGAATGCTGGAGTGAATGGTCAGGAGGCAAGCAGCTGAAGCCAGGGGACATCAATCAGACTTCTTGCTAAGAGAGCATCTTGGAGGCAGCAGAGTTTGGCAGAAGGGAGAAGGACAGGCATTATGATCAGTGTTCAGCACCGATGAGAGGCGCCTAGAGGGGAGTCTGACCCAGCAGAGACCCTGGCAGGCCCTAGCTTTACAGAGCGACTGTGGCTGATGTGTGTGCCAGGCATGGTATGCAGCTTTGGCCAGCCACTGCTGTGTCCCAGAGCCAAGATGTAATGAGAAACGAGGTCAGCTTCGTTGCAAGGGAAGGTGAAAGGGCTGAGCGCAGGGCAGGAAATCCTGTTAAAATCACGGATTGCACTAGGGTTTTGTTACAATTGCCTTTATATACCTGGACAACCTCTATGTAGGCAATGAGCAGAGGACATTATGACCAAATCTATTCAAGACTGGTGTCACAGAGCCTTAAAGTACCTGATGGGTTAACCATGGCCCAGAGTTCAATGAGACACTTAAAACAAAAGGCATCTATAGGGAGCTGAAAGAAACTGCTTTTGGACCCAGAAATTGAGCACATCTCTGCTTTGGGGTCTGTAAATTGGCTCAGTTTTTAAGTCAAAAGAATCTTGCAGGTACTCGATTTTAATTTTTCTAAAGTAAAGACATGCGAATTCATCACCAGAAACAATTTTCATACTCAGTCATAACCATTCAACCAAAAAGCATGAGCAAGGCCCCGCCGTGGTAGTGCACACTGGAAGATACTTCCTGTCATCCCGAGTAAACTACAGCAGGCTATTTAGAGGAGACAGAGCTCAGTGGAAGGAACACAGACTTTGTAGTCCGCAGACCTGGGCAAGCATCGGCTCCCACCTGGACAGGCAGCCTCTGAACTCGTGTCCTGCCATAAAGGGAGGAAAATGACCTGCAACTCAGGATTGTTGGAGACATTAGGACAGTCTGTGAGACCCCATCACAGTGCCTAGTGCACAGAAGGACCTAATTTTTGCTATTGCTATGGTTAGAAATAGGGAACTGGGAAACAATATGGAATATTAATTTGTACACATTTATTTCGCTTATTCATTTCTTGGCTTTTGTTTGTCAGACAAGCTCCCCAAGAACCTTGTCTATCCTATTTATCATATCCCCAGTTTCCTGGCATATAGTAAGGGCTAAGTCATTCTTGCTTGAAAGAGTGAATAATCCGGGTGCCCAGTGACGAGCCTGGCGAGGGCATGGAACCAGAGAAAGGAGGGCAGGCTGAGGGGTCCTGAGGAGGAAGGAGAGACAGGCTGCGGTCAGGCCACAGAGGATCCTGACGTGACAACAAGTGTGGGCGCCTAACCATCGTAGGGAAGTTGGGGTGGCAGAATGCATTGAGAGAGAGAAGGTGCATTAGTGCCAGGCACCTAATATCCAAGGTGGATTCAAGGATTCACTGTCTGTAATCTCCGGGATGGGAATGCCACATTCCGATGTCCTCTGAACACTCCTCAGAAGAGTGAAAGGTTGGCAGCAACCCAAGCTGCCAACAAGCAGACCATGGTTTGGCCAGAATTACTGCTTCTTGACCACTCCCTTGACGCGCTTTAATTTCTTTAATCCTCACAGCTGCTCTTTGAAGTAAGTACTGTTATCACCCCATCTTAGAGTTAAAGAAACTGAGGCTTAGCAAGGCAAAGTCACTTGGCCAAAGGGCATAGAGCTCTTTTTTTTTTTTTTTTTTTTGAGACAGAGTCTCACTCTGCTGCCTGGGCTAGAGTGCTGTGGCGTCAGCCTAGCTCACAGCAACCTCAAACTCCTGGGCTCAAGCAATCCTTCTGCCTCAGCCTCCCAAGTAGCTGGGACTACAGGTATGCACCACCATGCCCAGCTAATTTTTTCTATATATTTTTAGTTGGCCAATTGATTTCTTTCAATTTTTAGTAGATACAGGGTCTTGCTCTTGCTCAGGCTGGTTTCGAACTCCTGAGCTCAAACGATCCACCCGCCTCAGCCTCCCAAAGTGCTAGGATTACAGGCGTGAGCCACCGTACCTGGCTGAGCTTGGGCTTTTTAGTTAGTTTGCTCAGTTATTGAGTACCTCTATGCCGGACCTATGCTAATGCTAAGGACACCAAGAAGATGTACTAATGCAGACACAAAAAACCAATCCTTTCACACACTACCTGATGTGTTGACTGGGAAACAGAAAATTACACTATCATGTAATTGTATAAGTACTGGTATAAAATGCTTTGGAAGCAGAAAGGTAAAGTCGGGGATGGCTTTATGACAAAGGCAATGTTGGAATTGGGCCTCTTCCTATTGAAGAAGCTTGTTCCAGGCAGCAAAAATTGCAAGAGCAAAGGTCCAAAGGCTTCAGAGAGTCACCAGGGCAGGGTGGGTATTTCCATTTTACAGATGAGGAAGCCCAGGCCTACCAGGGCTTGGCCTGGTGGTTAAGAGCACAGCTCTGGTCATACTTCCTGGCCTTGAATCCTGGCCCCACCACTTAGGAGCTGTTTGACTTTGGAAAGGTTACTTCCCTCCTAAGACTTAATTTCCCCACCCATAAAGAGTAGATGATAACGGTGCTGACCACAGGCATGTAGATGGTTAGCAGGGAAGCCAAATTCAAGCTCAGGTCTGTCTAATTTCAAAATGCAAACCTCAGCTTCTTTGATCTACTGCTGCTTTTGTTCAAGAAAGAAGAAAAGCTTTAAAATGGAATGTTTCTGAGTCACAATTTGATTCATAAAGATGTGGGCTAGGCAGAGGGTCCTTGGCTAAGTCTAGGGATGCTAGCACCCTCCTGCCTGCTGCCATACCCCCTCCAGCCCTGGCCCAGGGGTCCCCCCAGCCCTGTAGACACTGGAGTTAGGGGCTCCAGCAAGCTCGTGGGGACACATTCCCGCTGTCATGCTGACCCTTTCTTCTCTCCATTCTTCCTCTTCCCCCACCCCTAGTGAGAAACGACGCAAGCCTGCCTGGACCGACCGCATCCTGTGGAGGCTGAAGCGGCAGTCCCGGGCCTGCTCCCTTACCCCCAGACTGCCAGCCCCCTACTTCTCACTGTCTCTGAGGAGCTACGTCAGCCACATGATATACCGCATCAGTGACCATAAGCCTGTCACTGGCACCTTTGACTTAGAGGTGAATTTCCCGGCTGCCTGACACTTGGCAGAGGAACAGCTACGCTGGGCCACGTCCCCCAGCCCTGGAGGCCTGGCTTCTAATGTCAGCCAATCCCCCAGGGAAGTCCTGTAGAAGGCTATGATTGCCTTTCCTCCCAGGTCAGGTATCCCAACTCTTCTTAGGAGCTGTTGATGGCTCTGTCTGTCAAAAGTGTGTTCAGGCGCTTGTGAATAGGTTTCCATTTCCTCTGGGTACTCTCCCTCGGGGCTAATGAGTTCCATTAGCTTATTACCTACTGTGTGAAGTAGGACTTCCTTTTATTTGTCCTAAACCTATCTGGATCAGGTTGCAAAGGGAGCTCCCTTTATCCTCCTATCTTACCATCTTATGACCAAGGCAGCGGTGACCTCCTTCAGGCTGCTGGCTGGCCCCTCCTTCATCGCATTTTCGCACTGGTTCCTCTGTCCTTTCACCGAGGTACCTTTCCACACTCTCCCAGCTGTTTTCACCAGAGCGCCCCCCTCCACACATGGAATTGGATTCAGGGCTTTGGGTCAGATACCCTGGAGGCCTGAGAGCAGCTGCCTGGCTTCTTCCTGACACTTCTCAGCAGCTCTGCCTCTGTCCTCCCTCCCTCCCCCTCTGCACTTGGCTCCATGTGTTACCTACCTGGCTCTCAGCCCCCATGTCCCTGACAGGACCAGCCACCACCCTGACAGGCCTTTGGCCCTTTCTCTTTGCTGCTGGCCAGCCAAGGTCAGCTGGAGCAGCCTAGTGCAGTTGTGTACCCACCTGTTTGGGGGACCCCTACCCCCACTGTCAGCACAATGAGGAATAGTTGCCTCCAAGGAGGGAATGATGCTATGGGAATTCAATCCCCTTCCCACCCTTGTGTCTAGCTGAAGCCATTGGTGTCTGCCCCACTGATCGCCCTGATGCCCGAGAACCTGTGGACCATGGAGGACAACTTGGTGGTCAGCTACTCCTCAGACCCCAACTTCCCCAGCAGCCCCTGGGACTGGATCGGACTGTACAAGGTGATGTAGCAGGCAAGACGGCGAGTCTCCCAGCAATGGCTCCCTGGTTTATGCTTCCTGAGGGCTTATTGGAGCTGGGCAGGCACTAAGGAACTCACCTTCATCCACCCCAGGGTCCTTGCCTACCTAGAGGCTGGCAATAAAGGGAGGGGGGACGCATACAGTACGACAGCCAGCCGCAACAGACCATCCTATCCTTAAGGACTTGCCACGGGTCCCATGTCCTCCTGACTACTGATTCCTCAATCCTCTTTCCCACAGGTGGGGATGCGGCACATTAATGACTATGTGTCCTATGTCTGGGTAGGGGACAACCAGATCTCCTTCAGTGACAACCTGAACCAGGTACATCTCCAATAGGTGGGCTAGCCTGAAAACTCCTCTGTCTTCTGGAAGGATCAGAGTGCACTTGTCACTGAAAGCTGGGTGGAGCCTAAGGCCCTTGAGCCAACCCCATTCCTGTCCACCCTCCCCTCCAGGTATACATTGACATCAGTGCCATCCCTAAGACTGCAGATCAGTGTCTCCTCTGCTACTTCAGCAACAATCTGCATTCTGTCGTGGGCATAAGCAAACCCTTCCAGGTAAGGAATGCTGGTGGGAAAAGGGAAAGGGTGTCACAGAGGACTTGAGCCCATCATCAGTTCCCCGTGGAGCTGCATCAGGTGGAGGGGGAGTGACGGGAAGCAGGGTGGAAGGCCTGCTCTTCCCCCTTCTGCCACCTGTTTTATCCTTGCAGATCCCACCTCGCTTCTTTTTGAAGGAGGACGCACTGGGTGAAGCCCAACCACAGCTCTGAGCCAGGATGAGAGTGAATCCAGGGCGGAGGCCAGAGCTGGCAGCCAGCTCTCCCTTACCACTGCCAGGAGTGCTGGGGGCCCAGCGTAGCCCCCTGAGGAGCCAGCCAAGTGTCCTCCACATACCCACCACCTTCGAGTTCTAGCCAGCTTCCTTCGCTCTCTCCAGTACAGATCTCTGGAACTGGCTGCTTAAATATAGGCTTTTGTTGCTAAGATGTGAGTAAAACAAGGTAGTTTATCAATAGTGAAGATTTGGGGACAATTCACCAGATGTGGGAAGGACCCTTCCGCCTGCATCTCATTTCTTTTTTTTTTTGAGACAGAGTCTCACTTTGTTGCACAGGCTAGAATGAGTGCTATGGACTCAGCCTAGCTCACAGCAACCTCAATCGCCTGGGCTCAAGTGATCCTTCTGCCTCAGCCTCCTGAGTAGCTGGGACTACAGGCATGCACCACCATGCCCGGCTAATTTTTTGTATATATATATTTTAGTTGGTCAATTAATTTCTTTCTATTTTTAGTAGAGACGGGGTCTTGCTCAGGCTGGTTTCGAACTCCTGCCCTCGAGCAATCCGCCTGCCTCGGCCTCCCAGAGTGCTAGGATTACAGGCGTGAGCCACTGCGCCCGGCCTGCATCTCATTTCTTGATTTCCCCCCCTACACACTTCTAGTCCTGCCAGGCACATGCCCCATCTGGCACAGGCCTGCATTCTTGTCATGCCATCCTGGGTCTCAGGCTGCCTGGGAGGGAGGGATGCTCACATTTGTACAGGCTCTATAGACTGGTTGGCAAGCAGCATTGGGTTCCAGGAGTCTTGGCATCTCATAGCCTGTCCCTATGAGAGATGGACAAAGTCTTGGATCCCTGCTTTCAGCAGAAACAGTGTGACTAAGAGGGTGGGATGGAGGGGCCCCTCTCGCCAGGCTGTTATGTAGTAGTGTGAACAGGTTGATGAAGGTCCTTCTGCTAACACAACTTCCCCACCCCTGCGTGGAGTCCAACCAAGGAAGTTCCAGAGCCTGAACAGAGAGAATTGGAAAGGACCCAAGTTAGTTTCTGTCCTCTAAGGAAGGATTGACAGGTAGTAGAGGAGCTTCAGCCACAGACTTTTCTAGTGTGTTTCTTGCGAGATCAAGCTCTTCTGCTCTACCCTTGTCAGGACTTTGGCCAGAAACTGCTCCTCTCTCTCAACGCCCCTGGGACCTAGAATTGGGGGTAGGCAGAAGGGAGAGCTGGATCAAGATATTTTGGAGGATCTGGCCCTGGGGGGGTCTTCTGAGAGCATTCTCCAGGTGCTGTGTGAACATGGCTTGTACCCACTCCCACCACTTGCCTCCTGCCAGTGGTGACTCCGTGGACCTTCTCAGGAGAAGCCACCTCAGGGAGCCTGCTCAGTGATTGTCATGCCATCCTATGACCTGAGATTGAGGATCACTCCAGTTGCTCTGCATTCCCTACTCCACCCAGGGAGCTATGTGTATCGAGAACTGTCCCCTGGCTTCTGGTGGGCCATGGCTATCTATGTTCTGTGTTTGTTAACACTGGGGGGTAATAAGAAACATGGCTTTTATACTTGTGTGTGACTCTTTTTTTTTTTTTTTTTTTTTTGAGGCAGAGTCTCACTCTGTTGCCCGGGCTAGAGTACAGTGGCATCACCTTAGCTCACAGCAACCTCAAACTCCTGGGCTCAAGCAATCCTACTGCCTCAGCCTCCCGAATAGCTGGTACTTCAGGCATGTGCCACCAGGCCCGGCTAATTTTTTTCTATATATATTAGTTGGCCATAAATAGTTAATTTCTTATATTATAAGAAATTAAATATAAATAGTTAATTTCTTTCTATTTATAGTAGAGACGGGGTCTCGATCTTGCTCAGGCTGGTTTCGAACTCCTGATCTCGAGCAATCTGCCCACCTCGGCCTCCCAGAGTGCTAGGATTACAGGCGTGAGCCCCCGCACCTGGTGTGTGACTCTTTCATGATAGGAGGGCTCATGGCAATGACCCAGAACTCCTTGCTCAACTTCAGGGACAAGGGCCCTGTAGATCCAAACTAGACTTTATGTGTCTGAGATCAGCAGATGTGGCCAGGGTGAGACTAGGATGACGTTCTAGGGTGGTGACCCTGTGGGTCCCTGACCCAGGTGGAACATGTCATCTGTGTTATTGGATGCTTAGTTTACTCCAGGTAGAATGGGTTTCTTGGAACTGACAACCCGTGGGAAAGGTGCTCTTAGGGGATCATCCTTCCTCACTCACTACTCCCTTACACCTTAGTCTTTAGCCTGTTCCTGGGTTAAGTTGTCCAAAATGTCATCATCTTTTTTCTCTGCCCCACTTCTCCCCTGATCCTTCCTGCTGAATCTCTCCCCATAGTACTCTATCCTTGCCACCAATACCTACACCTAGGGAGCTCCGAACCCCACTTGCCCACCTGTTCTTTTGCCCATGAACAAACCATCACAAGTGCTGCCACACAGTACCCTTCATTTGGCAGATGTGAAAATCAAAGTTCACAGAAGTGTGTGTGACCCCTTCAAAGTTACACAGGCAGCTGTAGTGTCATGCAAGACCAGAAATACAGGAATGGGGTTTGGATCCACCCACGTGTAAGAGTCTTAGTTGTCTGTAAAATGCAAATGATATACCTATTCATTCACAAGATTACTGTGAGAGAACAATTGGAAAAAACATTATGCCCACCTCCCCATTCTGATTAATGTAGCCACAGGGCTTGATTTCAGGGGCGCCCTGTTTTTTCTCCACATGCTTACCTCTCATTCCTTACACACGCCTGCCCCTGCCTCCTGTTGCAGGCCCCTTGGTAGCTTGGGAGGGGTGAGCCCAGCAGTGATTGAGAGGCGGAAAGGGGAAGGGGGAGTGCTCTCAGTCCTCTTGGCCCCAGTCAGGATATGGCTGCTCTGGGCCCACCCCGACCCGCTGGGTGGAAACAGGAAATATGTGAGACTTGGTGTGCGCTGGGTCTCTGCGCCTGGCTCCACGACTGATAAGGGCCATTGTGTGGCCAAAGGGGATGAGCCTGCCCTGGATAGATGTGCTTCCCGGAGGAAGGAAGGAAGCTTTGCTGGCCTTTCCTGGGCGGAGGAAGCAGTGGACAGGGAAGGGAAGGGTGCCTGGGGGGAGGTCCCTGCCCATAGGGTTGTCACTGCCAGCACAGGCCCCCTGGACTCCAGCCCCTCCCATGCCAGCCTCTGCCTCTGGAAAGGTCTGTTTCCCCCATCCACTTCCCCATCCTCACTTCCTATAAGGAATGGCTGGAGACCAGAAGGCTCAGTCTCAGGCCAGGAAAGTGTCAGCTGTGATTTAGCAACAATATAGAAAATAGGAACATTAAGAGTGGGGGAGCACATGGGGGGTACTGTTGAAATGTAAGAAGCAAACAGGGCTAGAGGTTGCCCATACCCAAGGAGCCCAGGAACTAACTCCCCAAGGGTTCGAGGCTATGGGAGGAGGGTAGGACAGAGGCCTCCTGCCTCTTGTGACACGTCCCTGTGTCTGGCATGACCAGCCCTCAGCGGCCCTGGCCTCTAAAACTCTAGGGGCTCACCTGCTGCTGTGGGAGGCAGTCAAGTTGGGGGGAATGTGCAGGAGAAGCAGTGCCTATTAGGAATCCTCTTGGATTAGAAGAAGATGTGCCTCTGGTTTGGGGAGTAGTCACCATGCTCTCTAGCTGATACTGGAGAGTGGGTGGCAGGAGAGGACCAACCATAAAGGGGATAAGGGGAAAGGCCTCCTACCCTTTGACCTGGAGCCCAGGGTCCCCCATGAGTGGCTGCATCAGCTCCTTGGTTACCTGGGACAACAGGCATTTCCTCCATCCCTCAGCCCCTCCTCTTCCTGCCCCAACCCTCCGGGCCAAGAGGCCTCCCAATCAGACCTGGACTGCTCCAGCTGTGTCCTGAGGAGCTGGACCAGCCACATCCCCTGGGGCTGGAGTTGAAGCAGAACCAAGTGGCCATCCCATCGATAGACCATAGATTCCTGGCTCCCGTAGAGGCCAGAGCCAGCGGGCGGACAGGCAGCTTTGCACACAGGCCCCAGTGCTCAGGGCACTGGCTCTCCGCGGGAATGGCGCTGCAAGTGGAGCTGATACCCACCGGGGAGATCATCCGCGTGGTTCATCCCCACAGGCCCTGCAAACTTGTAAGCCGGGATGCCCTGGGCTGGGAGGAAGGGTGGCAGTGTCTCCCTGGGGTCTGGCGGCCCCCTCTGAGCAAACCCCTCTGGAAAGAGGTGAGCAGTGAGGAGGGGTTCTGATCCTTGGGAACAGGAACAGACTAGTCAAGAAGGGGTAAGTGGAAGGAAGGAGTAAGGGTTTAAGAGCCACTAGAAGCAGGATTTTTCAAAGCCGAGGTCTGAATTGCAATGTTTTCTCCAGCTCCCTGAACCTCAGTGGGCTGGGCTATAAACTGGGCACAAGCGGTGACAGGGCTCTGAGGACAAAGGACTAGTGCATGTCAATCTCCAGGCGCATAGTACAGGCTCAGTTAATACCCCTACCTCTTCCCTGTCTGGTCCGCAGAACTGGGACTGCCTCACGACTCAGAGTAGTAGCGTGGGTGTGGGAGGTGGGTGAAGGGAGAGCGGTAGTTAGAAATGGGGAAGAACTGCCCTGGCTGGCAGGCTGGGGAAGGTCTGGTTTGCTCTGGAGATGCAAAAGGGCCCCAGGATGAGAAGGGAGAACTCCACCAGGCGCACCCACCCACCACTGCAGCGAATAGGCCGGGTCTCCGGGAGAGTGTGCGCGCGCGCGTGTGTATTTGT